ATTCGTTACTTGTAAAAATAATAAATAACGCGAGATACAATTCATGCATTTATTTGAAATGACATAGGTGACTTGGCAAGCTAAGTGCTTCTGATAGAAGGCCGTGCAAAATTACAACCCCCCACTCCCACACGCACGCAACTGCCCCGACTCCTAAAGGCACGTGTAATGAACACCATTCTTTCTCCACTCATAATTGCAATTTACTCTTGTTTTTCTTCTTTTAATCAATTACCACGCTTGTGTACGTGTGAATGTTTGTGTGTGTGTGTATAAACTCTCATTCTATGCAAGGGACCGCAGAGAAGATAGCCTACATTTGACAATGCACAGAAAATAATTACCAACGCGCCCCGAACAATTGTTGGAACGGTCGTGCGAACACGCTTGGGCATCAATTAAGGTTGTTGTTTTTTTTAACAAAAAAACCTCAAAGGACTAAAAGTCACCGCCGTTAAATTTATTTGTTCACGTCTTACGGCGACGATGAGTCGCATTCGGCTCCGCTCGTTATTAGCGGGGTGAATTAACGCGTGGGCGCTCTTAATACTCGCGGACACGTGGATGAATTGAAGATATTTCAATGCAGCGGCGCGCATCGCTGCCAGAGTGGCAGTGCGAGGCCGGGCCCCATGGTAATTGACTGGGCGGGCGAGGAAGAGCTCTGAGACAGGCGGTAATTGGCCAGGTTCACCGTAGGTGAGTTGTCTGGAAAAGCCTCACGCTTTTGTGATTACCGGTCTGCACGGGAACCAGGGATATTGCTACGCATTTGCACAAAATTGTCCACTCTCTGTGGCAGCCTCGCATTTGAGCAAGGGGAGAAGGAACAAAAAGGTCGAGAATTCTTATCTGGCCTGGTGACCACATTAAACTAACCTGAACAGCAACAATGTCCCAGGTAAGGCCCATTGAGCTATGTAGTTCTGTTTTCAGAAGCGACCTGGCCACAAATGATAGCCCAACGAAGTGGCTTATCATCACGTGGAAATGTAAAGCAGCCAAATACTCTAAACGCGTGATTTTGATTCTAAATGTGGAGGGGGAAACCGTAGGACCCGGAGAAAAATCCACGCGACCAGAGGGAGAGAGACACGCAAACTTCAAATATACAGCAGGCGTCAGGGTCCGGATCGAACCTAACGACCTTCTGCATACCAGGCGAGGGAGATAACATCTCGCCAACGCGGCACCCTATGTGAAATATTTGGCAAACATATAAATTGTCCGGCCCTGCAATCGGTGGTTCGCACGCGGCCAGTGAGGAAGGGCATCCACTAGAGAGGAGCTTCAGAGAGCCCCTCTCTGGAGGGTATTTTGGCCTACTCTTCCACGACAGCCAGACGTCTGCTAAGAGATGGGAGTACCCACACTTACTCCACCCCACACTACCTGCCGATCAACTTTAACCGTGGCATGCTCATTACTATACTGCTGAGTGGACAGACGCACCCGGCGACCTCTGAATCGCGAGTCCAACGTTCTCGCCATAGTTGCAGGGCTGCACCTTTTCCTGCTTGTAATCGAAAAATTGCATGAGACGTCTCGTGGAAGTCAGTGGCCGCTGAATCAAGATGTGCTTCCACTGCGGTCTCAGAACGGGGCCGTGAATCTTACTCCATTCAGGGAGTAAGATTTACGGCTGACAAACTTCGAATTCCCAATGGTTGATGGATTCAGAAGAGCGATCGCTGCCTGCGGCAGAGTAAACAACGGGTGACAACATCGCGCACAAAAGATATTCCGGAGCAAAGATAAAGGCTCAGCACACTCGTGAACAATACTTGCCTTCAAAAAAATATAAACAATCGGTGACATTTCGGGGGCAGCGATCCTTCTTCAAAACACTTGAAACAGAGAGGCCAGAGAGGGATGGAGACTGCACCTAACAGCATGGAGCCTGATGATGAGAATTATACTGTCCTATATTCGAACGAAGTTTTAACTTGCTGGAATCGTGCCTGCCTGGCATGTGCGCAGGCAGGCAAGTGTGCTGAGCCTGGTTTGTGTGTCGGGATGACGTCTCGCCTCCCCCCTACCCAGCCTTTACCTCGGCTGTGCACAACTCCGAAAACGCGCAGGAACGCTACCATACTATATTAGAACAAAGTTTTACTCGCTGGCTGGCTGGCTGGAGGCAGGGACGGACGGTCACCTCCAAAGGATCAGCTTTAAATGGGAATATGAATTGTAACTGTTGAGTACCAGACACACCCTTTCAATCTTCTAAACGTATTCCAAAATAAACGTATTTATCTAAAAATTAAAATTGTAAAATGTTGCCAGGGCAGAGAGGTCATTCTGAAATTAATGATGCCTCTTATTGCGGATATTTGAATCACACCGTACTAATGATGGGCGACAGTCGTAATTAAAATGTGATCTTTTGTAGGAATGAAAATACAATGGGAATGGTTTTCTTAAGTCTAAGGTTATCCCTGTACATGTCTGGGGGAAAACGGGACCAGGGATTTATAACAATGCCCATTTAAAGAACATCTGCTGTTTCTGCCCCATTAGCGGCGTGGAAATACAGAGACGATTGTTGCTCAAGGGAGCGAGACATTAAAAGGCATCTCACAGTGACACTCACCACTTCATCACAAACCCCTCGCAATTAGCGGCAGTGCGAAGGCTTAAAATTACATTTTCCTTCGTAACGGGCAAATTTGTTCGGGACAAATTAGACTTTGCGCAAATTCGCGTGAGTCCTCTCAGGCTCCCGATGGCTGGCCAAAGTGTTCTTTAGAATAATGCGTGTATCTACACGAGTCCGTTTAGTGTCTTCGCGTTTCAATGCACAACGAGTGAGTCCACGGGCCTCGTGGATTTTTCAGACCCATATTATTATAGAGCGGCATTTGTTTCAGCAAGCAAATCCTGGACCGGTTTCCACCCTTCGGGGTCTCATCGGCCTAAGTCAGGCACGTTCGACAACTCAAGACTTACATTAAAGAAAGACCGGTTAAAAAAAAAACAGCAGACTTCATTTATACCGTCGTAACTTAAAAACAACAAAAAAACACTGCGAATGTTTACCCTAAGGAAATCTAGAACTAGAGGGCAGAACATAAGCGTGCGCTATGCACACCCTTAATCAATCAAATGCTGTATGAAAAGCCTCTATGCCATGTCACTCATGGGGGCCGTTTCGACATACTTCACCCACGTTGGCGATGAAGCTGGCCGTCGTGGAAGAGTAGGCCAAAATTCCCTCTGGAGCTCCCTCTCGTGGATGCCCTTTCCCCACTGGCCGCGGTACGATAGTCTGATTGCCGGGCTGCCTGGAATCGGCGGTTTCCGTTTCAGAAACTAAATCAATACACAGCCTTCGCTCGAACTACTCAACACCAAACATCCTACAGCGCACGTCGCCGGAGTTGAAGATGGCAGCAGCAGCAGCACTGTTAAAGTGAGAAATTACGACTCGTGCCATCACCACCACCATCATCATCATCGCCAACACGGAGAGCGAACATCGATCAACGGTCTCGCGGTCTCCAGAGGCGCGCCACTCGAGCGCACGTCGCGAAGCCGATGAGCACGCGGTGCCACCGTTGCATCGCTCAACCTTGAACCCCCGGCGGCCACAATTCGCCCGAGGGGGCTCACCACGGGCGGCCCCAGAGATACAAGGCTGCTGTGAGAACAGAGGTTCCCGTTCGCGGCAGTACTCATTTCGTGCAGACTCCCAACTATCGCTTGCGTTCAACTCGTGCGCAGGAGTGTCGCGATCTCGGGGCCGCCGAAGCGGGCGGATTTTCATTTGAGCCGAGGGATCTGTTGGTGAGTCGAGAGAGGGTGACGGCACCAGATGGTCCCGGCGTGTTGCCTGTCTGCGCGAGTCAAGGCAAACGTGGAGAAGATTCCATCCCCACCGCCGCCCCCACCACCGCCGCAAGCTGCAGTCACGCAGAGCCGTCTCGTGGCGCTGTCTCGCTCCTCTGCCGCTCATTGAACAGCAGTCATCTCACAAGTTTCTGCAGTAATCGGTAAACGTGCAGCTCTGCAATTACTTGCTCGTGCTACTGTCGGCGGAAGGTCCTCATCGAGATGCCATGACCAGCGCGGTGAGGTATGGTCAAACAACTTCATGACCGACAAGGCTTGGGGAGGCCTTCATGTAACAGTGGATCGATAAGGAGCTGTAAATCATTATTCCGATGATTAAAAGTGCAGCCCTGCTGCAACTGCCGCACTATCCTCTACCCACGTATCTCAATTCTGCCAACCCTCATAACTCCATCTTCACATCTCCCGCATTCCCCAGTTCCGATACACAGCTGCCTTCATCTAATCCCAACGCCAATGCTGCTAATCTCTCAAATCCAACATTTCAATGCTCAATTCCCTCCACTGGCTTCCAATCCAATCCCAGGATCAATTTCAAGGTCTCACTCACGGTCTTTAAGATCCCCATGGACTCACCCCTGCTACCTCTCCCTTCTCATCTCACTCTACCTGCTCCTGCCATGGACTCTCATATCTCTCTCATCTGACTCTACTCCCCTCCCCACTCTCTGCCCCAGCAACCAAGGCTTTCTATATAGGCCTCTGATCTCTGGCTGACTCACAAGTAAGCCGGACATCACTCATTCTCCTCTGCTGCTCCCCTTTTCCTCTCTATAAACTAAATGTGCCAACGATTATGTGCAGCGTCTTGAGATGTGGTTACATTCAGACACTAAATAAATTCAAATTGTATTGTATGACCAATTATTTATTAAATATATACACTGAAGCTAAACATTATACACAAAAAGAACATTTACATACAAGCACAACTTGTTAATTACGAAGTTTTTTTAAGCATTAAAATGATCGAGACGAATAATACACGAAATACAAGCATATTGCACATCCGTTTTACATTACCAAAAAATATCCTAGTATTATCCATTCATTAAAAATGGTTCTCAAAGCAATGGTCTACCAGCACCTTACATCAACAGTTAACAGAATGGAAACACGCGCATTCATAAATAATATATGTACCGAACTGGAAATAATCCTTTAATGTATCTCGTTAACAATTCCAAACCGTAGACACGTTTCAAACAAATGTCACTGTGTGCAGTGCAGCCTTAACTTAACACAATGCATATCACAGTCACATTAAACAGCGCGTCCTCGCAGCTCAACTTTAAAGTTACCAAAATACAATTCGTACGTGCTGCTGAATAAATAGAGCTGCAAATGTATCAAAATATCTCGCATTATCTTATAAAGAAATCCCTGAATATGCATAATCTACAGTGACTGAAGCTTACAACAAGAAAAACAAAAACTACAAATCCCAGTTTTACTTGGGTTGATATTGATCCTCCTCTGTATAAATCCATTAATAGATAAAACCTGGATTCGTCCTTGAGCCATAGGCCCAAAAATTGCTTGTAGGTACCAGCCAGGGTGGAAAATTCGAACAATAATTTTCTTCAAGCACTTTATCTCCAGATCACAACTATGTACGATAGCAAGGTGCCCGTGGTAGCCTGTGATGAGAAAATAAATGTTAAAGAACATGGCCATAGCATGTTTGACATAGAATGCAATTTTGTGGGGGTAGGGGGGGGAATTACATGAGACATTTACGGAATAAGAAAAACAGAAAATAGGTCTCTAAACAGTACATATACTAAGATGTATACCCATGGTGGACATTGCCTATGGTGGGAATTTGTCACCCCAAGTGGTACTCTGAAAAAGCCTTTGGGCTCACTATGCTACAGGAGCAATGAGCGTGGCTGCACAGTGCACATTCAGCAACAACCAACTTTCGCACGATTTCACCGTTCCCAAAAAAAGTGCAAATGTAATTACATATCAAGTAATGGCTAGTAACAGGAAAACCTGCAAGCGCCCGACAGATTCCATGCAAAATAATAACCACACAGAAGGGACCAAGAAAATATCTGTAACATTTTAAAACGTTGGCATTTTTCAAAATGGTGCGATTAAAACCTGAGTTGCAAAAAAACATTCCGTGGCAACATCACATTCCCATGTTGGAACGTCTGTAATGTCTTTCGTAAAATATGCATCATGATTACCTGACGATGACAGACTCAATCTGCTGCAAAAAACTACCTTTTTCAAAGATTGTCAGTGTAAAGTTATTTTTTCCCATTGCTAAATACTTACATGAATACTCTTCATTTTAAATGCATAAAATCAAATTTTTAGTTATTTATTGCAAGAAATGCAGCAGACACCTCGACAATTGCGGATTAAGTCTAACATGTGACAAACATATATATCTTTACATCTCAACTCAAAAATTTTAACCACCAAACAATGTCTATGCCGATTTAAAGCTTTCGTGACTGCAATGATTCATCTTCTTTGGTTCTTTCGGTAAAGTCACGTAGAATGATAATAAAATAATAAATTGATAAAATAAAATAACACAATAATATTCTCACGACGTTTCGGCCACAACACAAGCGGCCTTCATCAGGTGAAGGGGGCGAGACTGTCTGGTAGGACAGCGCTGGAGTGAAAGAGCCATATCTGAACGTGGCTCTTTCACTCCAGCGCTGTCCTACCAGACAGTCTCGCCCCCTTCACCTGATGAAGGCCGCTTGTGTTGTGGCCGAAACGTCGTGAGAATATTATTGTGTTATTTTATTTTATCAATTTATTATTTTATTCTCATTCTACGTGACTTTACCGAAAGAACCAAAGAAAATGTATATGCCATCCATAAATATTTGCCAATTTAGATTAAAATTAAAACATTTTATCGCTCAAAATACGTACGTTGAATTGTGCACGAGAAGTTTTGATCCATCCATGTTCAGATTTCTCTACCACTACAGATTCACACCACGATGGATTATACATGCACCGCAATGGACATACGAATTGATTGTAAATTGAATCATGACACTCAAAAAACAACAACAGAGTTCTCAAGGGGCAGACTGTTATATATGTCTCTTTTACGGTCTTTTGTCAATCAACATCTGGGGATAGTGAAGTGGGGGTCAAGGGCCGAATCGGATATTGCACACCCCTGATGTTAGCTGTGGTCGGGAATCCAACTCAGGAAAGCCGGGTTCACAGGGCAGTAAACTCACCGCTGTGCCAACGCTTCACCCACGCATCCTTAAAACTACATATTTTACAGGGGGCAGCATTACGAATTACTTGTCAAGAGTGTAGCGATGCTCTAAATTAGAATTAACCGTTGTGATCCGTGAACACTGCCAATGAAGCCCAGGGCAAGTGTTGGCATTTGCAATAACAAAAAAAAAACACCTTGTGGCATGGAGTTCTCCTGGAGCTATGGCGCTTCTGATTTAAGGGCTGTGCTTGATCAACATCATTTAGTGCATGTTCACATATGACCAAAGCAGTTGAAGCAAGAAAAAATCTGTTATTCAAGGCGAATAGGCATCCCTTATTTAAGGTTGACACTTGTGTCATCTGTTCCATGTGTACGAACTTCTTTTCTCCTTTATGGTCATCATGGAGTGCAAAATTATCATGAGATTTTAAAAAGTAAATACTATAAAGTACCACTCATTACCAAGTCCGTAAGCATTTTACCAGACTGACATGCGATACAACATCATTTTGTAAATGGTCCTGCATAAAATACTGCAATTACCACCATTTTCCATTAGATTCTACAATACACTCCTCGCAGCTTGCCTGTAACATTTCAAAAAATGGATTCAGTGACACCGCATTGCCACGCAATGACAGACGCGTCCAATTTAAAATTGAACATGACAGATCCGAGAGTAGCTCAGAGAGCAAACTTGATTCCTCATGCTGGAGCCCATCACTCCCACACGTAATTAATTTCATGTCCATACAGAAGGGCCACGTGTGCGCTCCAATGCGATTGCCCAAAGTGGCGATTGAGAAAAAAATCACATTGCACACTTGGCACTCAAAACAACCCCAACTATGTCCAATTAAAATGACGCATTACCATATTGTACTGTTCAAGCCCTACTTAAAGCGATAATTTAACGCTTATCGAGGATAAGTGTCAAAACCATCACTTTGCTCAAACTTTACCCGACCCATTGTTTTTCAGGAGGATTATAAGTCGATCTTGATTTGAAGCTTTCGTGTATAAGTCGGTTTAAGTTTTGCCTCCCATTTTTTTCACTCCTTGGAATAAAAAAAAGGGAGAAACATTATCCTTTCACTGTAAAATATTCACAGCGATCCGACACACACCGTCATCACATACAATCGCTCACCGTGCACTCTAAAAGGCGGCTTGCGGTGCACATCTCTCACTTGGAGGACTGCTATGAAATCTATGATGGCGCAGCTTATTTGACAGACAAGAATCCTGCAGTCACCTCGTAAATCAATTGTGCCAGTCTCTTTCAATTTCGCATTTATGCACCGATTACCGTGGGGTTTTTTTCTCATGCTGTGCTCCAAATGTGTGCGTAAAAATGCCCACTCGATAATTTTCCAGATGGGACAACATTCGTAAGATTATTCTAAATTGCATCAAATTATTACATAGGTTGCCACAAGATATTGCATATCATTTATAGGTTACAGTTTTCTCTGCTCGTGGAAACAGCACAAACGATTGAAACAATGTTCTCCTTGCAAATCACAGAGGAAACGACGGCATATAGCAAATACCCATCGTTTTCAAACATTGGTAAAGATAAAGACCTATCCCTACAGACAAAGCCACTGTTGGCATAAGTGCTGTTAGTGAACAGAGACCAGCAGGGCACACAAGGGCTTGGTGTGGCTAGCAACCACGCTCGGCCACCTGTCTCCCCATTGCTGATGTTCACACACCGCAGGAGGTATTCACTAATGACCAAGTCGACCTTGGGGAGGTGCAGGAGGTTTCAGATATCCTTAAGTTATGTTAGACATCAGCAGCGAATTGAACTCGGGTTGTCAGGTTAGTAGTGCAGTGTGCTAAACACTACGCCGCTGCTCCCTACACACACACATACAACTCACACACACAACACACACACACAACTTCTATGGGGAATTTTCCACCCCCAGACAATAGCCTTCGAGCAGACTTGCACAGCGCGACCGTCTCAAATGGAACGCGCAAGCGCCGATCGGCATCAGTTGTCGGTAACGAGCAGCAGGGTATGCTGCCCCCCGCTGGAGGCGGTCAGCACGTGCCGGTTCTCCAGCTGCTTGCCGGTGACCTGCACGGGGCTCCACTCGTCCTTATCCTCGCCCGTGCCCAGCTGGCAGTTGGTGCCCATGCCCCAGGAAAACGCGCGTCCTGGAAAGCGTCGTTCGTGCCACCGTTAGGTCTGGTGTAACGCGTTTTGTTTTCTATGCAGGTGTGAGCTTCTTCTTGGCTATGGTCAGACGTTGTTACTGTCAAAACACAGTTACGTGCGACTGAACGTGTCGTCGTCGTCGTCATCATCATCATCATAAGCCAGCATCAATCCACTGCTGGATAAAGCCCTCCCCACCAAGCCACCGCCATCGCCACCTCTCAAGTTTCTGCGATGTAACAATCCACCTTGCACCTAAACACCTAAACGCTGATCTCATCGCTCCATCTCTTTGGCGGATATCTCATGAGATGCGTTCCATTCCTTGCTTGCCACTGCCATTATTCTCGACAATCATCCATCATCTTTGATAACAATAACATGTTCTGCCCAAGCCCATTGATTTTTCTTAAGAGTTTTAATGATGTAATTTATTCGTGTAAGTCCTTTAATCAATGTTCCTCTTTTTGTCTCAGTGTAATTCCAAATATTAATGTATCCACGCTTCTTTGTGCACATGTCAATTTTGATATTCCATTCTTCTTTGTTAATAAGCGTGTTTCTGAACCATGTCACAAAAGACTGTGCACACTGATTAAAACTGATCTTTTCAAGACACATCGCTACGTTAATGTTCATTATCAAGTTCCGCTTTCCAAGAAACCTCCACGCTATTATATTTGCCCTAAATTGTCCTGCATTTCCATGCGCATATTACAACATTAACACATACAATTTGAAGTAATTTGTGGTGTAAATCTAACAACAATTCCCGACACCTGTAACTTGAGGCTCATCTTCAAGTACACAACACGGAGACCACCTCCGCAACAACGACTGGGTGGCACACGCGAAGAATGGTGTGTCATTACCGTCTTTGGTGACGGCGTAACTGACGCTGGCGCCACAAGCTATGGAGTTGATGTGCGAGGGAGTGGGCACCAGCGTGGGCAGCGCCACGTCGCACGCCCCCTTGCCCAGTCCCAGGCGCCCGTAGTCAGCGCGGCCCAGGCTGTACACCTTGCCTGAGAGCACGGCGAGAGACGGGAGGCTTCACCACACCCGGCGTTTGGTCTAACGCTGCCGTGGTGTAATAATTAGCCGCACACGTGACTTGCAATCCAGAGATCGCCGGTTCAATCCCATCTCACAGCGAAGCAGTTCAAACAATGATGGCAATTTTGATTTAAAGCTTTCGTGACTGCAGGGATTCATATTCTTGGTTCTTTCGGTAAAGTCACGTAGAAGGGAAACAATAAAATAATAAAAATATAAAACAATAAAATTATCACGACGTTTCGACTGCAACACAAGCAATCATCATTAGGTGTGAAAACCTTGCTGTGGTTTTCACACCTGATGATGATTGCTTGTGTTGCAGTCGAAACGTCGTGAGAATTGTATTGTTTTATATTTTTATTATTTTATTGTTTCCCTTCTACGTGACTTTACCGAAAGAACCAAGACTAATGATGGCAATGTTTCTTTGAACGGATTCACCGTGGGTTGTTGATCGGCCGTGCCTAGTAAGTGTGAAAGAGTAGGCCAAATACTCTATATAGGGACCCTCTAGAACCATCTGGAAGAGGACACTTCCTTATTTTTGTCTTTTTTTATCTTGTCCCACAATTTTTATCTTGATCGTGCTATCAGCATTGTATCATGGGATTAATTCTACAGCGCAATCTTTCGTGTTAGAAATTATATACTGGATCATTACTAAATGTCGTTGTGAGAATTGTTCTTCAACTTTATCGGTGGGCTGACACGATAATAATTATCGGAGCGTTAAACACTTATACACGTGACATTTGTATTTGTTTGGCTGTGTATGTTTTACAAAAAAAAAGTGGACAGATCATTACTTGGCCTACCCCAAAATAAAATGATGCGTGGCTAAACTTTTCAAGCCATGTGAGGAGGCTTACCTCCAGAGTCGAGGCACAGAGAATGGTGCTGGCCACCGCAAAGCTCCAACCACGTCTCGGAGTTCTCAAAGGAAGTGAGGAGATTGGGCACAAATGCAGAATCTGGCTTGGCTGTTCCTAGAAAGCAAATGCAATTTAAAGACGCAAGCGTGGTGCGGCAGGACACGTTGCTGGAAGGAATGATGGCCGGGGTTCGAGACGACCGACGGAGTGGCAGACCAAGAAGATAGGATGCCCTGAAGAAGGGCCATTGGCCGAAACATCTCTTATAATCTTGTTTTTCTTTTATGGCAGCGTTATTTACACGTGTTGAGTTTTTATTCATCCGGTCAGTTGCACAGGTAGATATAACAAAAATTAACAGTATGCAGATATTGGAAGCACAGTATATTTTAAGGCATTTCCATAAGGGGCGGGGGGGAGCGCGAGAGTGTTTGTTCTCTCTCGTCCGTTTGCGACTTACCCAGCTGGTGGTAGTTTGAGAGGCCGAAGCCATAGAGGCTGCCATCTGTGCTGAGCGCGAAGGTGAAGTATGAGCCACAAAACACGTCCAGGAACTCGACGTGGCTGTGCCCCCTCCTGGCTTTGACGCGCACCTGCTCTGGCACCAGCAGACGCACTGCACATGTGACATCGCGGTGAATATTTTGTTAGGTAGAAGTTAGTGATGAAAATATTCATCAATGAGGTGTTTCTATTTTATTCTAGTCGACGACGACCGTTGAGCTCGACGAATCATCAAGCGTGACGATGACTATGCCGATCCACAAAAAAAGACAAAGTGTGACTATTTCGAGATTAATTTAACGAGTCTGAATGAAGATGCGGGCTAAGAGAGGTTGGTAATGTTAATAGAGACCGCAGTAGTAGAGGCAGACCAAACATTTTAATTGGTCACACACAGTGTGCATATAAAAAAATATTCACTCAGTCACCAATTGTCTGACCTGATAACATTGGGATGGGTGAAAAATGCCATACCTCTCACACCAGCATGTAATAACTAAGCGCTTTGCTAACGTTGACTGCTTTCGTCGACTCAGAGACAGACTACTTGAAAATACACAGACTAAGACTTTGACTAAAATTGACTATGACTAAAGTAAAACGTTTGGACAAAAGTGACACTGACCATAAGAAGAGCAATCACAGCAGATGCGGCCAGATCATCAACGAAAGGTTGGCTTATCGCGAATCTTGGGTTTGTATACGCTTCCATGACTAAAACGTTGAACGTATTATCGCATGGGTGAACTTTAGCTGGTGGCTTACGGAGTCCTCTCCTGCCACCACGGTTGGCGAACATTTCTGCGACCCTTCCCAGCTGGCCTTGCTCCCCGCAGCCCAGGGTGTAAATCTGTCTGCTCTCGCTCAGCAGCACCAGGTGATCGTTCCCTGCACAAACAACACCACGATAATACAATTACCAATGGACGATGTGCCATTATCAAGGAATTATGTTCATACACATTGTGAGCTAACAGATGAATATATTGTTCATTTCAGAAACTAAACACGTAGGCTTTGGCGACCAATATCATCCATAGGAGGTTTTCTTGGGTTAGATCGCGTAAATATATAAATGTGTCGTTAAAACCCGCCACCACCCGACACAGCCAACTAGTAAGGGTTGTCACGTAAACAGAACGTGCCAATTCGTCACTAGTACAGCACACCTGTGTGTTGGAGAGCCAAGCCACAACATTTACAACAGCCAGATTTATGTCTATCACCTGATGAAACTAGTTGTAATTACTGGCGAAACGTCGGACTCAGATTGTAAATGTTGTGGCTTGGCTCTCCAACACACCGGTGTGCTGTACTAGTGACGAATTGGCATGTTCTGTTTACGTGACAACCCTTACTCGTAGGCTGTGTCGGGTGGTGGCAGGTTTTAACGACACATTGATATATTTACAGGATCTAACCCATAAAACTTCTACTATGGATTTCAGAAACTGTGCTCATTATATCAGGGGATGTCCTGGAAAAATGTGATAAGAATAAAAGTTTCATGTTTGATAGAAAGGGTTATTACCATAAGTGGTTGGATTATGGTTATGAAGTGAAGTTCATTGTACAGCTGTCTGTGGAGGATATGATGCAATGAAACAGTCAGAAGTTGATGTGAGCAGTTTCAATCAAGTCAGGGTTAAATGTCTTGGGAAAATGTACGTGATTACATTTTCCCAGGAAACCCCTAATATGTGAGGCCCGAACAGAGTGCAGTGATGCAGCAAGATTATCATACACCCAAAAAGCCACTTAAGTTTCGATGAGCCCATGCACATAACGATGACCGGTATGAGTACATTGCACGAACCGGAGGCCACCTTCACTATGCGGGTGTCAAGGGTGAGCTTGGTGGGTAGGGGACATTTCATCATGGGCTCCAGCAGTCCAATAATGCCGTTGTTGTCCTGCAACACAACAATATATATTTATGCTTCTTTTGTACGGCGTTTGAAAGATTACAAAAGGCTACAATTGCGTCTTTAATTTTGTAAAGCCATTCCACAGCATCCGGGGTAGCTGAGTGGAGGCCACTTGTTCAACCAGTATAGGTCTATTGTTTTGGGGCAGTCATCAGTGATATGCCTGATGGTTTGAAACTCACCGCATTCGCAATTTGGCGAGTCCTGCATTTAAATACATTTCTGTTGCTTACATTGTCGAATGACATCAAATACTAAAAATAATCAACGTGTTCATTTTTTCCTGTCAAAAGCAGAATTTGGGGAAGCTATGGTCCTCAAGGCCATATCCACCCAACAGTGAGTGATCTATGAAACAGGAATGCGTCTCCTACCACCCACCCACTTCAACAACCTTGCACTGACCAGGATGGTGAAGTATGGTCAAACAACCTCCATGACTGACATGGTAATTGAGAGATCTTCAACTGTCAGCAAATTGACGAAAAAGCTGTAGTTATAAAATAATTGAGGTAAAAAAATCTTGCAAACACATGGAATTATGTAACAGTTTCACAATAATTTTTGCTTATAACGTGCTGCGCAGAATGCGCTCACTCTCAAAGAGAGAGAACGACTTAGAGGCGCGAGGAACCACAGGCAAGCAGGAAAGGCAGACAGGTGGTGAGCTGGTGCCAAATCCCAACCCGAGCTCTGTGGTCCTCTATATATGAAGGTGTTTTCAGGCCGACCAAAGCACCCGAAGAAAAGTCACACGTGCAAAAATCCAACGCTCTATACCATACAGAGTGAGCAGGTGGAGTCCACATTTGCTGTACTGCCTTTTCCTGTCAAGTCAAGGTATGGCACCTCGATGCTCACAGAATGAGCGTTTCACAGCATTTACGTGATCCACCAACCCTCATCCTGCACAGTGGTGGATTGCAGCTGTGCACCACCACCACTACCCCACGAGTATTGAATGACCAGTCTGGAAACCGACAGCTAGCTGTCTTGACAACATTTGTTTGCATACAGTAATTGCAAATTCTTTTGCAATAGTTTGAGTCACCCAAGTTGCTGGCAACAATTGTATCAATTTGATCAGTTTTCATGAGAGTAATTCCATAATAATAACAACATCTTACACTATGGTCCCAATCTTAGTTGATCATTTTTGCCAGTCATTATGCCACAATGTTACCGATGAACAGACGGCCAGTGCTGATGTGTAAATGCTTTCTCAGCAAGGCGACGGTTTTGTTTTGGCGAGCATGTGAACCTTTTGTTGTGAATTCGCTTTACTGACCTGCCCATAAGGGACTTAAGTTGGAGTAATGTTTGCACCAACCCCGTTTGTATATTTGGATCGTAGTTGAAAGCGTTACATTTTTAAATGAGCAAAACGAAAATTGGAACGATTTCTATCTCACTCGGAAGGTCCCCCACAAGTAGACGGATCCAAACTCGGTGAGGACGGCCGTGTGGCTATCCCCAGCCGACACCTGCACCGCGAGCTCCGGCAGCATCACCGTGCCAGGCATGGCCTCTTCTACATCCTCCACCGTGATTCGGCCCAGCGCTCCCTCGTCATTGCAGCCAAACGTGTACACCTGGCAAGGGAATGCGGGGGGGGGGGGGGGGGGGTGATCGGTGGCAAAAACGGTGGAGAAACAGCGACGGCAAGGACGTTTTTGTTCAAATGCTTTGATGCTTTAGAGCTGGGCTATCCAGCTATTTGGTGGTGTGGTGTAAGTTCAAATTTGGCACACCTGTGTAGAATATCAGTTGTTGAAGTTGTGGTGGGAAAAGCTAGAGTTTTGACCATCAGTAGATTGTGACTAGCGCTATGTGTTATCCAATTATTTAAGTAGTTTAGCTTGCAGCACCGGCCTACAAGTGGGCAAACTGTCTGCCAACAGCAGGGCAATGCTGCGATTGGTTTTCCCAATTAAGTAATTATCAAGTAATAATTAAAATTTGGCGAATTTGGACTGAGACGCCAGCCTACTCTTTTTTTATTAACGTCACAGGTTATGTGACATCCACTGCGAAGCATGCGGCGCGTAATTATGGTTAATAATACACCAGCATTACCAACCAGGGCGGCCGCAGGGCTTATAATGCAAATATCTGTCACAATCGCGCTAACGCTGGGCCATGTCACCGATCCCAGCGGAGGTCAAGTGGCTGCTTACCTTGCCGCTTTTTCCCAGGCACACAGAATGCATACCCCCGGCCACGGCCTGAAGCACAGGCTCGGGCATATGTACCAGGGCTGGTCTCTTGCGCTCCATGACGTTCGGGCCTAATCCCAGCTGACCCACGTCGCCCTGTCCAATTGCCAGCACTGCGCCGGGTTTACCCCGGTGTGACGGGTGAGTGACTACAGAGGGGCACAGACAGAAGCAATGTAAGGAAAAATCACGTGTTGCGTGCATTGTGTGCAAATGCTATGCTGTGTATTGTCAATCACACTCGTCGCAGTCATCATCAGCCACTGTCTATCCGTCTAATATTCATACCACTCCTCTCTTGCAGTAAAGTGTCCCCACGGATCGACGTCCATCATAGTTTGTGCTCGGATGCCACGATCCATGTCACACATGCAAATTTACTTATGTAATCTCTCCATTTCTGTGGTGGTTGTTTTCTCAAGTGTATCATTTCCTTTGACTATTTTTCTGTCACTAGTCTCGTACATTAGCCACCAGCTTTTCTAGTGATATGTCCTGCTCAAAGCTCACAAACGATTCTAAAAAGTCAGTATATTTCTCAGATGTATCGGATCGCCAATGTATAAATGCATGTTGAACTTCTTTTGCACCGTACGTAGCCAACTGTGCTAATCGGAGGTGTGGGGGAAGAACTAAACACGAAAGGCACATGCCCTTCTTCCCATCTCTCAATATCATCATGAGCATGTACATTAGGGCTGAACGATTTGAGGAAAATATCTAATTGCAATTTTTCTGACAGATATTGCGATTGCGATTTGATTGCAATTAAATTTTTTTATACTTCAATATTCACTGTGTAATAGATTTAAAACATGTGATGGAGCATGACCACGTGATACCATCAAAATATGAACTGCTCTATATATTCTAATGTAAGGATGAGAACTTAAGAAATATGAATTACTTCCAACATGTATTTAATAAAATGTTGTAATTGAATTAGAACAATCAAACATAGAACAATTGTTAAGTTAAATAAATAAAGTTACAATAATAAAAAATAAAACTACACAAATCACATGTACCCACCTGTCATATCCATTGTTTGATACGTCATTTGTAAAATTAAGTAGGTTCATAGGCATTTTAGTCCGTGAACCTACTTCAGAATAACAATAAATCATTTTGACAGCTCGCTGCTATGTGAAACAATCAATCGAGGACATCACCTTTCGCCTTCTTGGTCATTGAAGATGACTCTTGGCCGTTGTTCACGGACACAGCAGAACGCGTCGGGGGCTGTCCTCGCTTGCCCGGCATCGTCGCCTCTTCTGCAGGTGTGAGAGGGTGGGTTGAGGAGAGATACTGACTTAGGTGAGGATGGGGGGGGACCCAGGTGGGGAGGGGGCACACTGACCCAGGTGAGAAGGGGGGAAGGGAAGACCCAGGTGATGACTGGGCACTGACCCAGGTGAGGGGGGGGGGAGACCCTGGTGAGGATAGTAGAGCCCCAGGTGATGACGGGGCACACTGTCCCAGATGAGGACGGGGGGAAGGAAAGACCCAGGTGATGACTGGCCACAGACCCAGGTGAGGAGCGGGAGACCCAGGTGATGACGGGGCACACTGACCCAGGTGAGGAAGCGAGAACCAGGTAATGATGGGGCACACTGATCCAGGTGAGGTAGGGGGAGACGCTGGTGAGGATGGTAGAGAACCAGGTAATGATGTGGCACACTGATCCAGGTGAGGTATGGGGAGACCCTGGTGAGGATGGTAGAGAACCAGGTGATGATGGGTCACACTGACCCAGGTGAGGAGGAGAGAAGCAGGTGATGACGGAGCACTGACTCTGGAATCGACTACAATGGCAAGATAGCAGTCTAAATGCTGTATACAGCATCTGGAAAACTAGACAAATCACATCTGCCCACCTGCCATATCCATCGGTTGATACGTCATTTGTAAAATTAAGTAGGTGCATAGGCATTTTAGTCCGTAAACCTACTTCACAATAACAATACATCATTTTGACAGCTCGCTCCGACCTGAAACAATCAATCGAGGACATCACCTTTCGCCTTCTTGGTCATTGAAGATGACTCTTGGCCGTTGTTCACGGACACAGCAGAACGCTTCGGAGGCTGTCCTCGCTTGCCCAGCATCGTCGTTTCTTCTGCAGGTGTGAGAGGGCGGGTTGAGGAGAGATACTGACTTAGGTGAGGATGGGGGGGACCCAGGTGGGGAGGGGGCACACTGACCCAGGTAAGAAGGGGGGAAGGGAAGACCCAGGTGATGGCTGGGAACACTGACCCAGGTGAGGGGGGGGGGGAGACCCTGGTGAAGATGGTAGAGCCCCAGGTGATGACGGGGCACTGACTCTGTAATCGACTACAATGGCAAGATAGCAGTCTAAATGCTGTATACAGCATCTGGAAATTAGACAAATCACATCTGCCCACCTGCTATATCCATCGTTTGATACATCATTTGTAAAATTAAGTAGGTTCATAGGCATTTTAGTCCGTGAACCTACTTCACAATAACAATAAATCATTTTGACAACTCGCTCCTACCTGAAACAATCAATAGAGGACATCACCTTTCGCCTTCTTGGTCATTAAAGATGACTCTTGGCCGTTGTTCACGGACACAGCAGAATGCTTCGGGGGCTGTCCTCGCTTGCCCGGCATCGTCGCCTCTTCTGCAGGTGTGAGAGGGCGGGTTGAGGAGAGATACTAACTTAGGTGAGGATGGGGGGGGACCCAGGTGAGGAGGGGGCACACTGACCCAGGTGAGAAGGGGGGAAGGGAAGACCCAGGTGATGGCTGGGAACACTGACCCAAGTGAGGGGGGGGGAGACCCTGGTGAAGATGGTAGAGCCCCAGGTGATGACGGGGTACTGACTCTGGAATCGACTCCAATGGCAAGTTAGCAGTCTAAATGCTGTATACAGCATTTGGAAAACTACACAAATCACGTCTGCCCACCTGCCATATCCATCGTTTGATACGTCATTTGTAAAATTAAGTAGGTTCATAGGCATTTTAGTCCGTGAACCTACTTCAGAATAACAATAAATAATTTTGACAACTCGCTCCTACCTGAAACAATCAATAGAGGACATCACCTTTCGCCTTCTTGGTCATTAAAGATGACTCTTGGCCGTTGTTCACGGACACAGCAGAACGCGTCGGGGGCTGTCCTCGCTTGCCCGGCATCGTCGCCTCTTCTGCAGGTGTGACAGGGCGGGTTGAGGAGAGATACTGACTTAGGTGAGGATGGGGGGGACCCAGGTGAGGTGGGGGACCCAGGTGAGGTGGGGGCACACTGACCCAGGTGAGAAGGGGGGAAGGGAAGACCCAGTTGATGACTGGGCACTGACCCAGGTGAGGGGGGGGGGAGACCCTGGTGAGGATAGTAGAGCCCCAGGTGATGACGGGGCACTCTGTCCCAGATGAGGACGGGGGGAAGGAAAGACCCAGGTGATGACTGGGCACAGACCCAGGTGAGGAGGGGGAGACCGAGGTGATGACGGGGCACACAGACCCAGGTGAGGAAGCGAGAACCAGGTAATGATGGGGCACACTGATCCAGGTGAGATAGGGGGAGACCCTGGTGAGGATGGTAGAGAACCAGGTGATGACGGGGCACACTGACCCAGGTGAGGAGGAGAGAAGCAGGTGATGACGGAGCACTGACTCTGGAATCGACTCCAATGGCAAGTTAGCAGTCTAAATGCTGTATACAGCATCTGGAAAACTAGACAAATCACATCTGCCCACCTGCCATATCCATCGGTTGATACGTTATTTGAAAAATTAAGTAGGTGCATAGGCATTTTAGTCCGTAAACCTACTTCACAATAACAATACATCATTTTGACAGCTCGCTCCGACCTGAAACAATCAATCGAGGACATCACCTTTCGCCTTCTTGGTCATTGAAGATGACTCTTGGCCGTTGTTCACGGACACAGCAGAACGCTTCAGAGGCTGTCCTCGCTTGCCCGGCATCGTCGTTTCTTCTGCAGGTGTGAGAGGGCGGGTTGAGGAGAGATACTGACTTAGGTGAGGATGGGGGGGACCCAGGTGGGGAGGGGGCACACTGACCCAGGTAAGAAGGGGGGAAGGGAAGACCCAGGTGATGGCTGGGAACACTGACCCAGGTGAGGGGGGGGGGAGACCCTGGTGAAGATGGTAGAGCCCCAGGTGATGACGGGGCACTGACTCTGTAATCGACTCCAATGGCAAGTTAGCAGTCTAAATGCTGTATACAGCATCTGGAAAACTAGACAAATCACATCTGCCCACCTGCCATATCCATCGGTTGATACGTTATTTGAAAAATTAAGTAGGTGCATAGGCATTTTAGTCCGTGAACCTACTTCACAATAACAATTAATCATTTTGACAGCTCACTCCGACCTGAAACAATCAATCGAGGACATCACCTTTCGCCTTCTTGGTCATTGAAGATGACTCTTGGCCGTTGTTCATGGACACAGCAGAACGCGTCAGGGGCTGTCCTCGCTTGCCCGACATCGTCGCCTCTTCTGCAGGTGTGACAGGGCGGGTTGAGGAGAGATACTAACTTAGGTGAGGATGGGGGGGGACCCAGGTGAGGTGGGGTACCCAGGTGAGGAGGGGGCACACTGACCCTGGTGAGAAGGGGGGAAGGGAAGACCCAGGTGATGGCTGGGAACACTGACCCAGGTGAGGGGGGGGGAGACCCTGGTGAAGATGGTAGAGCCCCAGGTGATGACGGGGCACTGACTCTGGAATCGACTCCAATGGCAAGATAGCAGTCTAAATGCTTTATACAGCATCTGGAAAACTAGACAAATCACATCTGCCCACCTGCTATATCCATCGTTTGATACGTCATTTGTAAAATTAAGTAGATTCATAGGCATTTTAGTCCGTGAACCGACTTCAGAATAACAATAAATGATTTTGACAACTCGCTCCTCCCTAAAAAAATCAATCGAGGACATCACCTTTCACCTTCTTGGTCATTGAAGATAACTCTTGGCCGTTGTTCACTGACACAGCAGAACGCTTCGGGGGCTGTCCTCGCTTGCCCGGCATCGTCGCCTCTTCTGCAGGTGTGAGAGGGCGGGTTGAGGAGAGATACTGACTTAGGTGAGGATGGGGGGAGACCCAGGTGAGGAGGGGAGAGACCCAGGTGAGGGGAGACCCAGGTGAGGAGGGGAGACCCAGGTGAGGACAGGGGGAGACCCAGGTGAGGAGGGGAGACCCAGGTGAGGACAGGGGGAGACCCAGGTGAGGACGGTGGGAGACCCAGGTGAGGACGGTGGGAGACCCAGGTGAGGAGGGGGGAGACCCAGGTGAGGAGAGACCCAGGTGAGGAGGGGGGGAGACCCAGGTGAGGAGGAGAGACCCAGGTGAGGAGGGGAGACCCAGGTGAGGAGGGGGGGAGACCCAGGTGAGGAGGGGGGGAGACCCAGGTGAGGAGGGGGGGAGACCCAGGTGAGGAGAGGAGACCCAGGTGAGGAGGGGGGAGACCCAGGTGAGGAGAGACCCAGGTGAGGAGGGGGGGAGACCCAGGTGAGGAGGGGAGACCCAGGTGAGGAGGAGAGACCCAGGTGAGGAGGGGGGGAGACCCAGGTGAGGAGAGACCCAGGTGAGGAGGGGAGGCCCAGGTGAGGAGCGGAGACCCAGGTGAGGAGGAGAGACCCAGGTGAGGAGGGGGGGAGACCCAGGTGAGGAGGAGAGACCCAGGTGAGGAGGGGAGACCCAGGTGAGGAGCGGAGACCCAGGTGAGGAGGAGAGACCCAGGTGAGGACGGTGGGAGACCCAGGTGAGGAGGGGAGACCCAGGTGAGGAGGAGAGACCCAGGTGAGGAGGGGGGGAGACCCAGGTGAGGAGGAGAGACCCAGGTGAGGAGGGGAGACCCAGGTGAGGAGCGGAGACCCAGGTGAGGAGGGGGGGAGACCCAGGTGAGGAGGGGGGGAGACCCAGGTGAGGAGGGGAGACCCAGGTGAGGGGAGACCCAGGTGAGGACAGGGGGAGACCCAGGTGAGGAGGGGGGACCCAGGTGAGGAGGGGAGACCCAGGTGAGGAGGGGAGACCCAGGTGAGGAGGGGGGAGACCCAGGTGAGGAGGGGAGACCCAGGTGAGGAGGGGGGGAGACCCAGGTGAGGAGGGGGGGAGACCCAGGTGAGGGGGAAGACCCAGGTGAGGAAGTTAAGACCTTGGGTGCAACAAACGATGGCCTCCTCACAAACTCATACTGCAGCGATACCGGTTACAACTTTTATCGGAAAAAAAAATAAACAATTTAAATTTGGGGTTAACAAATCTCCAACACAGACAGCTTCCGAGTCGCGGGTAAATAAAAAAAGTCGAGAGTCCCTCAAAGTGGCAACTTTCAAAAACGTTAAGTCGCGTCCGCCCAAGCGTGGCAATACCGACAACGCTATTAAGGGGCCGTCCATAAATGACGTCACGCGATTTTGGACGATTTTTTGACCCCCTCCCCTCGTCACATGGCGTCACAAAAAGTCAGACCCCCACCCTCAAATATGACGTCACAAAGCTGTGCCCCCCCCTCCAAAATATATATTTAAAAAAATGCTTCAAATCGCTTTAAACTAGTGTTATTGTAGTGCATATTTAATGTGGCGCTACACACTTATGTTGTAGGAAAAAAACATTTATTGAAAAGTATATTTAATTAAGTAGAACGTGTTGTCTATATTTATTTAAAGTTGCGCATTTTGATGTGACGTCACATTTCTCACCCTCCCCTCTCTCCCTCGTCACACATCGTCACAAATGTCTGAACCCCCCTCCCCCCCAGGTGCGTGACATCATTTACGGACTGCCCCTAAGAGTAAAAAAAAATAACACTGCACCTTAATTCAGATTTAAAAACAAACTGAAAGCCAGCAGAAGCAACGGCTCGCGGTGGCTATTGCCGCAGCGACGTCACGTGGCGTGCGTCTTGTACAGTGCGGCCGTGACCTCTCGCCCCGCGACCCGGACGTGAGAGAGGCGGACATGGTGGTGACGACGACCACTTGGGAGTTTAAATTTCAAACAAAACATCATCATCATCAACAACAAACACCACATTTCCTCATAAAGCAATTAACAATCAAACACAAAGTAACATTAACGTTTTTTTCTCTCTCTCTCTCTCATACGTTCAGAATTAATTCGTATAGTTTTTTTTTTAAACGATTGTGCAAAATGTAAAGTGCGACACGTCCGGCGGAAGAGGCGCGGCCTTTCTTCGATCCTGGCAGCCGCCGCCTCCTCCTCCTCCTCCATTGTCGTCAACCCCTGAGCCACGATGTCGGACCGCTACAACATCCACAGCCAACTTGAGCATCTGCAGTCCAAGTACATCGGCACGGGCCACGCCGACACGACGCGCTACGAGTGGCTGGTGAACCAGCACCGCGACAGCTATTCATCGTACATGGGCCACTTCGACCTGCTCAACTACTTCGCCATCGCCGAGAACGAGAGCAAGGCCCGCGTCCGCTTCAACCTCATGGAGAAGATGCTGCAGCCCTGCGGCCCGCCGCCCTACAAGCCCGAGGACGCGCTCTGAGAGAGCCACGCACCCCACCACCCATCGCCGCCTTGTTCGCTCACCACCCCGGCGGCCACCGACCCGAACCGAACGCCAACCAGGCACCGACCTGAACCGGACGTCAACCGAACAGGACACCGACCCTATCCGGACACCGAACAGGACACCGACCGGCCACCGACCCGCACCGGACGCCGACCGAACTGAGGGCGCCAATGCACGTGTTCGCTGCGATGCCGCGCCTCTCTTGTTGGATGGGAAATGGTGATGATGGGTCCCGGAGGATGGCAAGAATTTGGGGTGGGTGAAGATGATGGGGCGGCTCAGATTTGGGTGGAGATGGGCTGGCTGTGACCGGGTGTGGCGAATGGAGACACGGTTACGGATCGACTGGCTGCTGCTGAATAGAAAACACCGAGTGGATGATGGAAGGATTGGGTGGGACTGGAGACATCGGGTGGGGTGGAAGAGTTGTGGAGTGGGTAGATCTGACTGGGCCGGGGGTGGTGATATTGGCCATGTGGGTGAGTTGGATGGAGGGGGGATTGGCTGGGACCCCCAGGATGCATTCGCTGAATGGATCGAGGGCAGGTGGTTGGGTGCACCTGGTGTAGACGATGTCGTGTCCTCTTGATATAGAATTGCTGGCTCGGATGGTGTTTTGACCCGTGGACTGTTGCATAAAACACCTAAAGTTATTTGTTTAGCTTTTACTATTTGCAACCACCAACTAAGGGATTCCACTTAAAGTTATTCTTCAACCGTCGTCCACTGGTTGTTGGGGTGATGCCGAGTTGGGATGTTGGAACGGGACTTTGTTAGAGCTCTTGAGCTTGCTTCGTCCCGGGCTGTGCTGCGGTGTTGCTCTCTCCCATGTTTTCCCTACCATAACCCCACTCCCCTTTTACATCGGTGTCAATTGTAAAGGGGTCGTGATATGCCACTGCATTTAGACGCTATTTACATCCAAATTGTTGAGATGGATGCCCATGGCCTGGTGTACCAGCTCATGGAGATGAGGTCCAGTCTGGAAAGTTTTGACCCCTGAGCCACCATCGACCTGGTGAGAGGCTGCCGAGTCCATATCCTCCACGCCCGCCTGCTGCCACAAGAAGATCACCTTTATTCCTGGAGGTTGGAGTTGACGGGGCTCAAAAACCGTGGCCTGCTCTGTGACCCTGCCGACAATTGTCCCGACAAACCGGGACACTTTTTTTTCCAGTGAGCTACCAAGTCGTGTGCTAGACCAGCGCCGCGGAGAGCCAGGTTTTTCCACTGCAGAAGATAAGCTATGCGGCTAACGTCACATAAATGTCGTGTGGATGATGAAAATGATCAACTCTGTGCTTGTGTGGCCCCGACCCAGATGTCTTCTGAGGCCAGCGTATCAGGGGATTGTCCTAGAAAATATCCAGTGGAAAACCAGCATCCTGTGCGGGTCCTGTGCCAGTATGGCTTCGATGGATAAACATGAATGGGAATGATTCTGTGTGGCCGTTCGATTTAAATTGTGTGGGAACTATTTGGAAACATCGCACGATACACTGTTGGTCATATCAATAAATCGGTACCACTAAAATACCTGGTTTGGGGCCATGGGTGAATAACAGTACAAGGCAGTGGGAGACATTTTAAAGGCCATTGGGGAATTTTGTGTTGGCTTTGGAATTGTTTTATGTTGATGCATTAGGATTTGCTTGAGATCGTGAAAACCTTTTTATAAGTTGCTAAGTATAAATAAAAATCAATTTCGTAATTGGATATCTTTTGTCTTGTGGCTATGTGTTGTGTACAGTACAGAGGTTGCACAAACATCTTGTGGATTTAATACCTTGGCATTTGAGTAACGTTTCGATGTGTATGTAGTCCATGCCGGGTTTGTCACTCATCTGCTGTGATGACGCAAAAGTTGGTAACCTATGAACCCAGCAACACTAGATCAGTTCGCAGTCACGGCTAATGTCAGTGGCGAATGATCTCTGACCTGGGTCGTCTGGGTCTCCCCCCACCCCCTTCTGCAGCAACCCACACGGCTGTAAAATAGATAGTGCAGCCTACTCCCTCTCCATGTTGTCCTTCACCCGCACCTCCGATTAGCACAGTTGGCTACGTACAGTGCGAAAGAAGTTCATTTCAGTAGCCGTAATTTATGGGCCATGATTCATGGATCAATTATTTTATTTCCATTGTGAATGGCTAATCCATATTGGTATGAATTCAAACCTGCTTAAATTTGGATAAAGCAAACCAAGGGAAAATACGAGATAAAAGTTGGTAATTTTGCAAACTTGTTTAGCATGAGAGTTGTCTCAGCCATAATATATAACTGATACCTTGCCTGCCATGCAGTAACATCTCGAGACGCCAGGAGAAAGAGGCCTTTGAGTTAATTAGGAAGGAAATTATTGCAGACATACAATGTTAAAAAATAATATGGCATAGCCCATATACACTATCAAGAATAAACTAAATCGAACAGCTAAGTGCACTTGAGAGTAGTGTTTTTTTCACCTTCATTTAAGTTATACACCATCTGAAATTATATTTAATTTCGCTTTAAATTCATGAAATTTTGTATGTATATGTTTGGGTAAGGTGTTTCATACCTTTGGTGCCAATGAAAACACGACCTTTCCAGGTAATTTAAATTACTGTAATTTTTTTATACTGTACTACATACCACCACTCGACCCTATGTGAACCCACTGGGGGTAACATCCCTACTTGTTAACACCCCAGTTGTATTCCGGTTACAGAGGATGGTTCACTTGTATAAGGGGAATAGCAGCGCGTGGCTTGTAATGACTGTAATATCAACCCATATATCACAGTATTCATCACTAAAAGCTTAGGCAATGTGCCACGTCTACAAAGTTCAAGTCGCAAATATGTTTTAGTTTACCCAGAATATGTAGCTATGAATCAATATTATCAGCACCTCTGTAATCAACCACCATGATAACATTTACATGATGAGAGTCACTAGAGAACAAGCTATCACAAAGGTGACTTTGCAGGCAAAAAAACTCCACAATCATATTCTTTTTTCAACTCCACATTCGTCAATGACACTGCTCTTACAGTTGACGATTTGGGCAAATTGCTCTTCTCTGCTGAATGGAAACTGCCTGAAACGTCACATTATATAATCGTTCCTCTAGGGCAGTGCTATTCAGTGTATTGAGTTTTTGTTATTTATGTTTGTGCACCACGACTGCCAACGGAGCACCACATATTTGGTGCATAACAAAAATACGGCAATTACATTACTGTATGTACTTCAGTGTAGAAAAAAGTGAATACAGTATAATCTTAAAACGGTTTGCACAAATTGGAAGTGTCCAGTTTTCGCGTCTCCAAAAGCAATAGATTTTAAGGATTTTTTTACCACAGTCCCGATGCAGCTGACCCATTAGCGGCCTATAACACGTGATATGCATTGTGGTTGCCCATCCAAGCGCTATCCAAGCTCAAACCAGCTTAGGTTCCATATATGTTTAAGACATCGGAAGCATCACGGGTGGTTTGGTCAACAAGGCAATGATGGAGTACAGTATATATACTCTTGATAAAGCTTTATAACTAATCGGATTCCTCCAATCCAAATATTGTTTTTCTGTTTACCATTCGCTTAAGCGGATGGTTTCTTCTACCGGCTAAAGTGGATGGAGGGGGTCTCAGTGGAGGGCGATCAGGAGACAGGAGCGAGTGGTAAGTTGTAGTTGGTGTCCGCAAGAAGTGACTGCTGACAGTAACATGCGTTCATTCAATATGCAAACCCAGAGAATACAAGACTTTTCACAGACTTTTGGTGCAAGTGATGTTAGCCAGCACCTGAGGTGCTCGCCAATGAAGGCGAGGGCCTATGAAGGGGGTGGGTGACCAGCTCCACGCCCGGCCGCCTTTGTCTCCCCAGTGGCGATTTTTACACACCGCACCAGGTACTCATTTGAGACTGAGTCGACCTAGGGGGAAGGCCCAGGACCGGTTCCGATAATCGTCACCGGTGATGGCCGTGAGCAGGATCGCCTGGTTCGTAGTGCAGCGTGCTAACCGCTACACTACCGCTCCCAGATAATACACACACAATAATCACACAATCATCACACACATCATCCCCATCACAGCCACCGCACACAAGAGCGCCTATGGAATGCGCACACACCCCATCAACAGTGAAGAAGTCACACCGTTACAGTATACACCACTACCAAAGTCATACCGGTAACACAGCCGCACAAACAGAACACACTCATATCTCTGCCCCACCACATTACACATCACCATATAACATCACCACCACAATCATTACACCACAATGGTCACACCACCGTAACCGCATCACCACAATCACATCACCACGATCATCGCTATACACCACCACAATGATCACTCCACCGTAACTGAAATCATCACGTCACCACCACAATCATCATTACACCACCACAATCATTACACCACCACAATGATCACACCACCGCAACCGCATCACCACCACCACAATCGCATCACCACGATCATCACTATACACCATCAACCACAATGATCACTCCACCGCAACTACAATCATTACACAACCACAATGATCACACCACCGCAACCGCATCACCACCACCACCAGAAGCATCGCTGTACACCATCACCACAATGATCAATCCACGGTAACTACAATCATCACATCACCACAATCATAATTACACCACCACAATAATAACACAACCACATTACCACCACCACAACCTCATCACCACCACAACCGCACCACCACCACAATCGCATCACCACCACAATCGCACCACCACCACCACAATTGCGGCACCACCACAACCGCAGCACCACCACCACAATCGCACCACCACCACAATCGCACCACCACCACAATCGCACCACCACCACAATCGCATCACCACCACAATCGCACCACCACCACAATCGCATCACCACCACAACCGCAGCACCACCACAACCGAACCACCACCACAATCGCACCACTACCACAATCGCACCACCACCACAACCGCAGCACCACCACCACAATCGCACCACCACCACAATCGCACCACCACAATCGCACCACCACCACAGCACCACCACAATCGCATCACCACCACAACCGCAGCACCACCACCACAACCGCAGCACCACCACCACAATCGCACCACCACAACCGCAGCACCACCACAACCGCACCACCACCACAATCGCACCACCACCACAATCGCAGCATCACCACCACAATCGCACCACTACCACAATCGCATCACCACCACAGCCGCAGCACCACCACCACAATCGCACCACCACAACCGCACCACCACCACAACCGCACCACCACCACAACCGCACCACCACCACAATCGCACCACCACCACAACCGCAGCATCACCACCACAATCGAATCACCACCACCACAATCGCACCACCATCACAATCGCACCACCACCACAACCGCAGCACCACCACAACCGCATCACCACCACCACAATCGCACCACCACAACCGCAGCACCACCACCACAACCGCACCACCACCACAACCGCAGCATCACCACCACAATCGCACCACCATCACAATCGCACCACAACCGCACCACCACCACCGCATCACCACCACCACAATCGCACCACCACCACAACCGCAGCATCACCACCACAATCGCATCACCACCACCACAATCGCACCACCATCACAATCGCACCACCACCACAACCGCAGCACCACCACCACAACCGCATCACCACCACCACAACCGCATCACCACCACCACAACCGCATCACCACCACCACAATCGCACCACCACGACAACCGCAGCATCACCACCACAATCGCACCACTACCACAATCGCATCACCACCACAACCGCAGCACCACCACTACAATCACATCACCACCACAACCGCACCACCACCACAATCGCACCACCACCACAATCGCATCACCACCACAACCGCAGCATCACCACCACAACCGCAGCACCACCACCACAATCGCACCACCACAACCGCACCACCACAACCGCACCACCACCACCACGAGCAGCAGCAGCAGCACCGCGCCACGCGCCGCCGTGGCCGCAGCGGCGGCGCCGCGCTGTGTACAGGTGACGTCACTCCCAGCAGTCCCCGCCACAATGGCGCTCCGAGCGGCCGCGGAGAGATGCAGGAGGCGGCGGTGAAAATTTGAAATAAATTTTGCAAAAATCGGGCGCGCGTCGCAGCGCGTCGCGGACGCCGGCGGGCGGCATGCGGGCGCCCCGAGGGTAAGTTAGCGCGCACACGGGCCGCCGGGTCGTGACGTAAACCGGTTTAAAATCCCGCCGAAAAAGTGCGCTTGTGTGTAGTGTGAGAGAGCGAGAGTGTGAGAGAGAGGGGGGAGAGGGAGGGGAGAGAGCTGAGCGCACAAAGTTTCTTTACTCCTCCTCTTGCTGCTGCTGCTGCTCCCCTGGTGAGGGGAGGAGGCGCGCGCGCGCGCGCGCGCTCTCTCTCGCGCCCCCCCCCCTCACCAGCCCCTCCCCTTTACTCTTCCCATCACTTTTGCTTATCGCCCGTCAACTTTCCCAGCTCGTCACCCCCCCCCCCTCTCCTCAGCCCCTCTCCCCCAATCAGCCCCCCCCCCCTCATTTTCACCCCCCTCCGCTCACTCTCCTCTTTCCTCAGCCATCACCCTCCTCTCCCTCTATCTCAAAGTCACCCCTCAGCTCATCTCCCCCCCCACCACCACCTCCTCAACTTTTACGCTCCCACTGTCGCTTCTGCTCTCA